ATTAATTTATTTCCATGAAGTATAAAAATATCATCAAATAAGATCAAATGCTCCAGCCATTGATTGTTGTGATAATAAGCATTTTCATACATCCAATGGCCATCACTATCACAATCAATCACAATATAAATGACACATAACCAACTACTCTATATGATATGCTCAATGTGCATTATTGGCCAGAGACATTCTTATTTGGAGTTGAAACAGAGATATGTATTTGGAGAAAAGCTTATGCTTTGGAAATGCATCTGGGCATGGAAAGGCCCACAACGGAGCACATGGCTGCAGTGAAGCACATATTACGGTACGTGAAAGGAACTTTAAACCTTGGTTGTGTTTATGAGAAGAAGAAAGGAAGCTTGGAACTGATCGGTTATTCAGATAGTGATCTAGCTGGTGATACTAATGATAGGAAAAGTACCTCAGGTTTAATATTTTTCCTTGGGTCAAGTCCTATTAGTTGGTGTTCACAAAAACAGAAAGTGGTTGCCTTATCTTCCTGCGAAGCAGAGTACATCGCTGCATGTGCAGCAGCGTGTCAAGGAGTGTGGCTGGGACGACTATTGGCAGATTTGTTAAAAACTGAAGTTAAGAAAGTAGTTCTGAAGATTGATAATCAGTCCGCAATTGCATTAAGCAAGAATTCAGTTTACCATGAGAGGAGCAAACATATCGATACCCGATTTCACTACATTAGAGATTGTGTTGAATCTAGAATGATTGAAATTCAACATGTTTGCACAGAAGATCAGCTTGTTGTCCCTTTAGTTTGTTCTGGCTATTGAGAAATTTTAGGGCATCGTGATCTGTAAATAGTGTAACTAGTTCGTCAACAGAATGACTCCAGTGTTTGTTGTGTTAATCTAGTTGTCTCTAGAAATTGTTTATGTATTTTTGCACATTTTTCATGTGGATTAGGAAGTTTTGAAAACCGTTTTGTGGTTAGGTGGTTAGGAAAACCGTTGAGTGGTTAGTTAGTTTTATTTTCAGAAAAATGTGATGTATTTGCTTATAAATTAAACCAGAAAATGTAGAGGGTGTGAACTACTAAATAAAATTCCTCCATTTTTGTTGGCGTCTCAAGTTTGGTTTTGAAAACCAACAACAATCACAATTCTTTTCTTCGTTTTCTCTCTTTTTAAGATGCTCCTGAATAACCCTATCAAAATACTCATCCATCTCCTTAAAGTTCCTTTCCAATCTCCCATGAAAGCCCCTCGATCGATCAACCCATTGCATCCCAGGAAAGAAATCTGCCACACAGAAGCTGCCAAACAACTCCAAAGCCTCTGAAAGTAAATGATTAAGACATTTCCCTCCTTCTTCACCATATTTGGCATCTCCAAACTCATGACCGAGCGCAACTCGACAGATCATGTTGTTTGTCAGAGAGTGTATGAGCTCACTCAAGTTAGCTACCGAGAGATGTTTGATGGTGGTTATGAGCTTCTCCACCTCTTCCCTTCGCACTGCTTCAAATGATCGAACACGACAAGGGCTAAGAGGTTCATGGCAAGTTAGCTACCGAGAGATGTTTGATGGTGGTTATAAGCTTTTCCACCTCTTCCCTTCGCACTGATTCAAATGATCGAACACGACAAGGGCTAAGAAGTTCATGCGCGGCAATCTTGCGGGCTTGGCGCCACTGATCGTTGTGAGGAGCAAACGATATGCTAGTGCAATTGTAAAAGAGCTTCTTTGCTGTGGTGAGCTGAGGGCGGTCGGAGAAAGTGAGGTCATGGTTGGTGAAAATCTCCTCGGCCATGTCGCGGGAGGAAATAACAAGTGTGGGTATGGAACCAAGTTGGAGGAGCATAAGAGGGCCATGCTTATTTGAGAGACTGAGGAGAGAGTGGTGAGGCTTGTTGGGATCGAGAGCATGAAGGTTGCCAAGAATGGGGAGACGCCATGGACCCGGTGGCATCTTTTTCTTTCTTTTCATGTTACAATATTTGACAAGGTTGTTGAGGAAGATGGAGAGGGCAAGAGAAAGAAGAAGAAGAAGAAGAAATAGGAAGACATGTTCTGCATTCATGTCTGAATAACTTAGGCAGCTTATGGTTTTGAGATTTGACTAAACATGTATATATAATAAAGATGGATGGAGCAAATTTACTAATTTTTTGTTAGAATTGAATTTTATTTTTTTTTTCTAAATTTATTTTAAGATGAATCTAATCTGTGTAGTCAAGTTTAAACAATGGAATATAGTGGTATGGATACAATTTTTTCTATTTTATATTTTATTAGTATGCAATTTTTCCAAGGAAGATAAGAAAATTTGCATTTATATAAAATACATGCAAAAGATTAATTCAAGCTGCTCAAAATAATCAAATGCCCGGCAGACATCATGTTCTATTTGATTTTTCAATAATAACAAAAAATTCTATTAATGTGGAATAACTTTTCTTACGTGCAATAAAATTTATGACAGTAATTTAACGATGTCATAGCACCACACAGATATAATACACGCATAGATTAAAAAAAAATAGTATGAGAAAACATCAAGATATATTGACATGAAAAAATTCTCGAAGGTTTAGTCTAGTTAAAATAATCTACTTTATAGTTAGGAGTATAGAAATTGACTTTTTATCTGGACTAAGGAAGATTAGATTAATACAAGATCATGATGGATCATGACTATTTTGAAATAATCGATATATTTAATTGTTAAGGATAATTGAAAGACTATAACAGTTGTAGTCTAACTATAATAATCATGATGGGGCTTAATAGTCGTAGTTGGCTATATAAATTGTAGTTGGCTATAGAAGCCTTAGTTACTATTGTAGTAATTGATTGCTATGACAATAATTATTCTACTTAAACCATAGTCTGGGTTATAGTAGAAGTAGTTGGCTATAGAAGTCATAGTTGTATGAGGTTATAGTAGTTATTATAAAGTGATTAAAGTAGTAGTTGGTGGTGGTCGATAATGGTTGTTGGTCGATAATAAACTCTGATGGTCATTGGCAAAAAACTCTATTGGCAGATGAGTGTGAAAATTTCGACAGTAATACCTACAATCAGCCAAAGGTACAAGTTGCCGCTAAAATGATGCAATAGTGTCGAACAAGGCGGACAATGAGATGCTATTTAGTGTCCTCCCTGTTCGACGCTAATCGGCATCGGTCATAGTCGATGCTACTGCATCGCTACGTCAGCATCGCTTGCATGCTCGACGGTAATTTTTGGCGACAGATGATTCCGACACTAATACAGACGCATATTAAATATGACGCTATTATCAACACAAAATAAATTAGTGACACCTATTTTAAAGACACTATTCCTATGCTAATCTAAATTAACGTTGGAAAGCATTCTAATGTCTGACGCTAATCGGGTTTTTTCCTGTAGTGGATGATCATGAATTTGAATTTGAAATATTTCTTATTCAAAATACTTTGAAATTCGCGCCTAATGATAAAATTTTGTTAATCAAGAATCAATTCTAAAAATTCATCATCCTACGATCATCAATAACAACTTACAAAAAGTTGTCGTCTTCTATTATATTAAATATTGTGGAAAACTTACATACCTACCTCACAATTTTTATTTATTTAAGTATCTAACACACAAAATTTGATATTTAAATTTATAACACCTTAGACTCGTAAATCTATGCTTGAAAGTTGAATATTTTTTTATGTGATCTTAAATTTTTGAGTGATATACATGTCAATCTAAAGATACAGTTTGAATATTGTTTTGATCTATATAAAAAGTCTTATTATTAATTTTTTTTATTGTCTTTGTTGGCATTTTGGCATTTTTCTTTCGAAAAATTATGATTTAGGATTATTTTGAAAAAAGTAAAGTTATTATTTTCTATCATATCTTAATTATGATTAAATATTTCTTAATTTTAATTATTTCTTTTCATCATACCAAACATGATACATATAAAATTGCGTAAATTTAAAATATCTCACTTGAACAAATACTATTAAAACCTTCACATATGATAACATGTATTATGAGTAGTTCGAAAATTTCTCAAAAGTTTATCAATTGTTTTGATTTCTAGCCTAGTTAATTAGCTTTAACCATTGCTTCAAGCCATTTACTAATAGCAAAACAATGTAGCCTCCTCTCTCATTCAAAATTTTACTATATTGTACGTCTAAATATCTTGAAGGTTCATTACTCGTCTAGAGAACCACGAACTCATTAGGATTAGCATTGACTCGCTGTGATTTTAGTGAACTGTCAGAGCCAACACATTTCAATATGTATTCAAGAAAGCTAGCTAAATATTAATCAGCTTTGTCAAAGCTACTTTCTAGTTGCCAATGACTTCTCGAACTTGGATGGATGACTTCATCTAGACAAGGATGATTACTTGTCGTTAAACTGATCACCAACATTAAAATCTTCTTTGAAAATGAGCATATCATAATAAACATGTTTGTTCCATTGAAATATGCAGAAATAAAAAAATTTTCTTTGCAAGATTTACAATCATTGTATTTAGTTACCTCATGCCACATTTACATATTGCTAATCTTGATTTATTTAAAGGTTGTTGCTAGAGAGTTTTATATATATATCACAAATCTTAATTTGTGACAATTAAGTTTGGTAGAAGTATATATTTTTAGTAGCTTTTGATCTATTTTGTAAATGCAAAATTAAAACATAGTTTTTTATTATTAAAAAATAAAAAAGGAATAATACAATGTCAACAACAGCTTTTCTTCTGTTGATTAGATAACAATAAACTTTTATATTCCATTTATACAAGTCATGCAATCTACAATTTGGCTAAGCCCAATTGTTACATAAGAATAATTTATCAAGTTTAATGCATGTGTAAGAGAGATTAATAATAAGACTATGATGTGCATAAATAATTTTGCAATATTAATATTGAAATCCATATAAATTATTTTGTGGAGCAAGGGGACAATATAACATTATACCTCTATGACAATGCATTTGCTAACATACAAGTTACATATAACATATCACATATAACATATCACACACACACACACACACACACACACACACACACACAGATTAGGCTACAGTTCTTCTTCACCATTTTGGTTTAGCAACCAAGCAAAGCGGCTCTTTTTTATGTGTCGTGATTCCAACGGCTGAATCCATGTTAATATCTTCCACTTTCATTCCACCCGGTAATGACCAATCAAAACTGTGGAGGAGATTGGCTAAAGCAAGCTCAACAATGACCATTGCGAAGCTGATCCCAGGGCACTTTCTCCTTCCCGATCCAAAGGGCAATAGCTGAAAATCATGTCCCTTGAAATCCACTCTGCTTCCATCAAACCTTTCTGGCCAAAACTCTAGCGGCCTCTCCCAAACATTTGGGTCCGTGGAAATAGCAGCCGCATTGATGATAACACGAGTATTTGCAGGGATCGTATATCCTCGGATCTCGCATGGCTGGATGGTTTCTCGTGGAAGGAGCAGCGGGACAGGAGGCCTTAGCCGCATCGTTTCTTTTATCACTTGTTTCAGGTATTCAAGCTTGTCAAGTTCGTTTTCTTGGATGAATCCATGTGATTTTCCATTAGTGATTTGCTTCAGCTCTGCCTGCACTTTATTCATTACTCTTGGGTTCCTCATTAGCTCCGTCATCGTCCATGTTATTGTAGCCGACGCTGTGTCTGTTCCAGCTATAAATGCTTCCTGATCATACAATATGTATAATATATGATGAATATTTTATATAATTTTAAGTTATTGAAATATTTTTTTTTCCTTCTCAATAAGCAATATTAATTAATTGCACGTGATTAATATTATTTAAGAGGTTTAATAAGTGAATGCATTATATAATCATCAGCGTTTATAGTTAAGACATGTTATCTTTGGGTTCTATATAAAAAGGGTTTGGTGTAGTGTTATATTGTCTTGTAAGAAAACATTTTTTTTTAATTAAGTAGGAGTAATTTAGTTTTGAACCAATAAGTTTTATTTTGATCGAGAACTCCTCACAAATATAAATTTTGGGTATGAATATAATTTGAGATTTTATTTAAAATTTAACAAATATGCAAAAAAGTTATCCTTTTTGATTTGATATCCATCAAAGATTAAAAGAAAAAAAAAAAGCCTTCAACTACATTTTGATACCTACATATAATCATGTAGATGATATTATGTGGACTCTAATTACGTTGATCGATTATCGTTGAGAGCCCTGAATTTCACTTGTCATGCTTGAAGATGATTGAACCTTGCATCTCTTGGTATACGTGCGACTGCTCAAAGTATCAAGGCTACTGCTGATTGGAGGGGCATCATTGCTGGCTTCGGTTGCTTCGATTGCTCTACCAACTATATCGGTGGACGTTCGATCAACGATCGGAGGCTCGGTCTTTCTTTGATCTTTTGTCGTCATCACGGTCTTTCCACTTCGGAGGCGATGATCAGATGTCTTTGGTTTAATTCCCGAGGACTCCATAAGGTATTCCTCGACTACGATGTCGTCATTTGCTAGTTCCAAGACCTCTGCGAAGGTTCTCAACTTGCGCAAGTGCAGGTCATACTTGAATCGCTCTTGCGGATTCCCTGTTTTAGAGTGGTCCTGGTATTAAGAGGCTCCAAGTTTTTCTCCTTTAGCATTTCTTTTGGAAATGAGTGATGTAAGCCCGCAAGCTCTCATGCTCTCCTTTAGCATTTCTTTTGGAAATGGGTGATGTTAAGAAATTGCTCCAATTATGATTTCCATATCCGCTCCACATTT